CTCCCCTCCACCTCCTCTCCCTCCTCCCCCCCCTCCTCCTCCTCCTTATCTTTCTTCTTCTTCTTCTTCCTTTCTTCTTCTCTTCTTTCTTCTTCTTCTTCTTCTTCTTCTTTTCTTCTTCTTCTCCTCTCCTCCTCCTCCTCCACCTCCTCCTCCTTCTCTTCTTCTTCTTCTTCTTTTCTTCTTTTTCTTCTTCCTTCTTCTTTCTTCTTCTTCTTCTTCTCCTCCTCCTCCTCCTCCTCTCCTCCTCCTCCCCCTCCTTATTCAGCCAAGAAACACGGTTTCTTAACCTCAATATGACTCTTAGTAATAAATACAACAACCAAGGAGAGGACAGCAGAGAGCATCAGCAGCAGGCATGCTGTCAGCATTCCCCTGCTCTTAGCCCTCGTAAGATCGTCAGCATTTTCCCTTCCCGTCCTTTCACCCCCCTCTCCCCCCCTCCCTTCTCGTCAGCAAACCTCCTCCACCCCCACCTCCTTTCTCGGGCAGCACCTCCCCATCCCCCACCCCTCATTTGACTCACAGGCCGTCAGCAACTCCCCCCCTTGCACCCCACCACACCCCAGATCGTCAAGCACCTCCCCTCCTTTCCCCCCTCAAGACCGTCCCTCTCCCCTCCCCCAATATCATCTTCACTACCCCTCTCCCCCCCATACCCAACATCCCCTCCCTCCTCTTACCCATACCCAACATCACCACCCCCTGCACCTCCCCCCCTTTAGTACATACGGGGAGGAGCACACCCAGGGATCGCTCTCCCCTCCCCTCTTTAGTAACTACCAGGGGGTCGTTTCTTCCCTCCTCCCTCCCTCCTACCTCTCCCCCTCCCCCGACGCCAAAGTTTCCTCTTCATGATCGCTGAAAAAGCACGGGACTCGACGGAGGACACGCCAATATCCGTCAAATTATCTCTCCGTTGTCTTCCCCCTCTTTCCCTCCCTCTCCCTCTTTCCCTCTTTCCTCCCTCTCGCCTCTTTCTCCTCCTTCTCCCTACCCAATCTATTCCATGAGGATGAGGGAGGGAGGGAGGGAGAAACGAGGGGAGGGGATGGGAGGGAGAGAGGAGGAGATGAAGGGAGGGATGGAGAAGAGGGTGCGAGGGAGGAAGAGATGGATGGACAGATAGAGGGAGGAAGGGAGGAAGGAGAGAGGAAGAGAGAGAGAAAGAGAGAAAGAGAGAAAGAGAGAAAGAGAAAAGAGAGAGAGAGAGAGAGAGAGAGAGAGAGAGAGAGAGAGAGAGAGAGAGAGAGAGAGAGAGAGAGAGAGAGAGAGAGAGAGAGAGAGAGGAGAGAGAAAGAGAAGAGAGAGAGAAAGAAAAGAGCGACAAAGAGACAGACAGAGCAAGAAACAAGAAACAAGAGAGAAAAGAAAGAGAAAGAAAAAAAAGAAAAAATAAAAAAAAGAAAGAGATAAACCCAGAGAGCGACAGCAAGGGAGAGAGAGCGCTCGCAAAAATAAAAGCCCCCCCCCCCCTCCCGACCGCCCGTGTCCCGCCGTCCCCGAGGATGGGCGGCGAATCCCCGACACGCGCCGGCACTTCGGCGGGAGGACGACTCTGCCCCCGGGGGATTCGCTGCTCAATCAGGTGCCTCGGTGACGCCGCAGACACGCACCTACTACCCCTACCCTCCCTCTCCTCTCCCTCCCCTCCTTCCCTTCCTCCCGTGATAACCATTTCCCCACTTCCCCTCGATCTGTCTGTCTGTCTGTCTCTCTCTCTCTCTCTCTCTCTCTTTCTTTCTCTCTCTCTCTCTCTCTCTCTCTCTCTGTTCGTCTCCTCTCCTCTTTCCTCCTCTTTCTGGGAATCCTCCTTCTTTCCCTTCCTCTATCTCTATGTTCATTTCTTCTTCTTGTTTCCCTTTTTTCTTCTTCTTCCCCTTCTCCTTCTTCCTACATCTTCCCTCCCTCTTTCTCCCCCTTCCCTCCCACACAGAAACCGTTTCCCTTCCCCTCCCCCAGGCACGTAAAAGGAGCTATTCAAGTGAACACATTAGAATCGTTATCCCCTCCCTCCCACCCCTCCCCTTCCCCTCCTCCTCCCATTTCCTCCCCTCCCCTCCTCCCCCCCTTCCCCTCTCCTCTTCCCTTCCCTCTCCTCCCCTTCCTCCTCTCCTCCCCTCCCCCTTCCCTCCTTTCACCCCCTCCCATCCCCTCCTCCTCCCTTCCCTCCTCCTCCTACCCCCTCCCACTTCCCCCTCCCTCCCCTCCTCCTCCTCCTCCCCCTCCTCCTTCCCTCTCCCCCTCCTTCCCCACACCCCTTCCCTCTCCCTACCCTCCCTCCCCTTCCCCTTCCCTTAACGACTCCGTTCTAAAACTCCCTGGCAATCGCGGATATTAAAACCCATTACGCATATTTCGCTAACGACCTGGGCATCCAATCGGGGTCATTCGAGGTCAAGTTGATTTTTTTAAAAAAGGTCGAATAAGCAGGTGGTTTGTATTTTTTTTTTTTCTTCTTCTTCTCTTTGGTTATTCTGGTAATTTCAAGTATTGAGGAGGATGAGAAGGGGAGGAAGAGGAGGGGATGAGGAGGAGCGGGGGGAAGAGGAGGAGGGGAGGGGGAGGAGATGGGAAGAAGAGGTGGAAGAAGGAAGGGGGAGGGGGAAGAAGAGGAAGAGGACCAGGTGAAAAGAGTGGGAGGGGAAAAGAGAATGGCAGAGCAGAAGAAAGTGAAGTAAAAGATGAAGAAAAATAATAAGAAGAGAAAGAATAATAACAATAAAAGGAAGAAATAGAAACAGAAGAAGAAAACCGAGAGAACACAACAATACCAGAAACCAAAAACAACAAGCTTCAGAAGAGGATTAGCAGACAGCAGAAAGAAGGAGAGCAGAAGAGTAGATAGGAGACGAGCAGCAGGAAAGCAGCGGGACAGCAGAAGCAGGAAAGCAGAAGAGTAGATAAGAGACAAGCAGCACGAAGCAGATCGGGAGAGCAGACAGCAGGAAAGCAGAAGAGCAGAAGAGTAGGAGATCCGGAGAGCAGGAGAGCAGAAGAGTAGATAGGAGACGAGCAGGTAGTCCTACAAGGAGGCGTCGGGGCGTGAGCGAACTCCTCCCGATATATCAGGAGCTGACGGCCTAACAACGGGCATGAATGACAGTAGTTAATGTGTGCTGACAGCGACGTTGGAGTGTGTGAGAGACAGGGAGAGAAGGAGGGGGGGAGGGGGGAGAGGGAGAGGGAGGGAGGGAGAGAGGGAGAGTGGGAGAAGGGGAGAGGTAGAGGGAGAAGGGAAGGAGAAGGAGAGAGGGAGAGGGGAGGGAGGGAGAGAGATAAAAAAATAGATAGATAGATAGATAGATAGATAGATAGATAGAGAGAGAGAGAGAGAGAGAGAGAGAGAGAGAGAGAGAGAGAAGAGTGAGAGAGAGAGAGAGAGAGAGAGAGAGAGAGAGAGAGAGAGAGAGAGAGAGAGAGAGAGAGAGAGAGAGAGAGAGAAAAGACAAACAAAGAAATAATCTTGAGGCGTGTCATCTCATGTCCTCACCCCATGTACCTTCTTCAAAGCGTGAAAACTGCTTCCGTGACTTCCCACGCCCCACTCCTCCTCATTCCTCCTCCTCAGTCCTTGCCCCCTCACTCCTTCTCATTCCTCCTCACGTTTCGCCTCACTCCCTCACCCCCTCATCTTCATTGCCTCTACCTCATTCTCCACTTCTCCTCATTTCTTCACACTCCTCGCCTCACACTCTCACACCCCGTCATTCCTCATTGCCTCTCCCCTCATTCTCCATTACCCCCTCATTTCTCCTCACGCTCTCCCTCCCCTCATTCCCCCTCACACCTTCCCTCCCCCCCATTCTCCCTCATGCTCTCCCCTCCCCTCATTCCCCTCACACCTCTCCTCCCTCATTCCTCCTCAACCCTCCCCCCCATTTCCCCCTCACGCCCTCCCTCCCCTCATTCCTCCTCACGCCCCAAACAACACTCTTCCCCATAATCACCGTATTCCCCAACCCAGAAGACACCTCAAACGCCCCCTTTTTTTATCATTCTTTCTAACCTCCTAAATTAGCGTACAACCGCCCATATTCCTTTTTTCTATTCTTCGTTGTATTCATCTCCCTTTGTTGGTGCTGACGGCTGACATTTTTTTTTTCTTCTCTTGTTGCTGACCCGCTGACGTGACTATTGTTCGCTGACACTTCTTGGTTTTCGGGACACCCACTTGGATGGCGGCGCTTTTGGGTCGGGTGTCGGGAGCTCGCCTCGGGGATAGGGGTGTGTAATCGTGAGTTAACGCCCACTGACCCACGCATTCCCCTATCCATTTCACCCACCCACCTATCTATTCACTACCCACCTATACATTCACCCACCACCTATCCATTCACTCACCCATCTATCCTTTCATCCACCCATCTATCCATTCACCCACCCACCATCTATCCATTCACCCACCCATCTATCCATTTACATACCCACCCACCCACTATCTATTCACCATCCAACCCACCCACTATCTATTCACCACCTATCCATTACCCACCATCTATCCATTCAACCACCCACCATCTATCCATTCACCCCCCAACCCCCCACCCACTATCCATCACCAACCCACCTACTATCCACCTGTACCCACTTCCCATTGCACCCACCCACTCGCACCCTTCTTTAATACCCACCCAACACACTTCTCGCTTAATACCCACCTACCCACCCACAAATAAAATCCACAAAAAAGTACGAAATCAACCTATCTATATTTCCCTATCACCCTCTATTTATATAAAAATAAATAAAAAATACACAAATATTATATCTCACTCTCTATTTCGCTCTATTTATAAACAAATAAAAAAATAATAAATAAATAAATAAAATACACAAATATCTATATTTCCCTCTCTATCTCGCTATATTTATAAAAAAAAATACACAAACATCTATATTTCCCTCTCACTGAAAAGTGAAAAAAAAAAAAAAATATATATATATATATATACACAAAGCCAAAATGGTACGGAATCGAACAGAAATCCAACACTCACCGTAGACCTTGAGCCTGGCCGTCTCCGAAACCCTCTTGGCGGCCACGTTCTCGGCGACGCAGGTGTAGTTCGCCGAGTTCTCCGGGCGAGCTGACAGGATGAGCAAGGATCCCTCTGAAGATATCCTGCGGGAGAGACGAACGGGTGAAGGATTAAGGATGAAAGGATATTCGAAGGAGAGTGGGAAGGTTGTAGAGGGATTTGTTTGGGCAGAACGAATTAATGAGTGAGTAATTCATTAATTAATTAACTGATCAATGAATGGAATGAGTAACAGAAACGAGAAAAATAAAAATAAAAATAACATCGATGATAATGGTAAAAATAACATTATTAGTTCTACAAATAATCATAACAATGACAATAACGAGAAAAAAACAAAAAAATAATAGTAAAAATAACATTAATGATAACAGTAAATATAACATCAATAATCCTACCAATCATCATAAAAAAACAATAAAAATACAATATCAACAAAAAAAAAAAACGACGTAAAAAAAAACACTAACAAAAACAACACCCCACCACCCCTACCCCTCCCCACCCCACTAAAAAATCACCCCCTAAAAAAAAAAAAAAAAAAAAAAAAAAAAAAAAAAAAAAAAAAACTCTTACTTGTAACTCGGGTTGTCCTCGAGGCTGATGGGCACGTTGTTCTTGAGCCAAGTGGTCGCTGGAGGGGGACGGCCGTCGGGAGGGAGGCACCGCAGCTCCACGTGCTTCCCGAGGGGCACCGACTGCGAGTAAGGAGGCTCCTCGAAGTATCGCCGAAGGTCTGAGGGGAAAAAAGAGGGGAAAAAAGGGAGGGTGAGATTTGGTTGTGAGGGAGAGAGAATTTGAGAGAAAATGAGTGAGATTTAGTTTTGAATAATTTGGAGAAAATGAATGAGATTTGGTTTTGACGGAGAGAGAATTTTGAAAAAAAATGAGTGAGATTAGGTTGTGAGGGAAAGAGAATTGAGAGAAAATGAGTGAGATTTGGTTGTGAGGGAGAGTGAATTTGGAGAAAATGAGATTTGGTTGTGAGGGAGAGTGAATTTTGAGAAAATGAGTGAGATTTGGTTGTGAGGGAGAGAGAATTGAGAGAAAATGAATGAGATTTGGTTTTGAGGGAAATGAGAACCGAAAAAAAATTGAATGAGATCTGAGTGCAATGAGGAAAAAACTATTTCGAAAAATAGAACTTCATTCGGGAGAAAGAATGAATCTAAATCAATATATAAAAAAGACACAACAAAACATAATTTCCAAAACAGGAAAGCAAGGAAAGATATTTCAATGGAAAAAAAATACAGTTGAATTTTCCCATAAATGACAATCAAATTTATATTTCTTGCGTAATAAAGTAATTAAGACATTCAAAACAAGCAAATATGGAGATACAACCACAATAATATCAACATAGGAGCTCAAATTAATAAATGTAACACCACGTGACTGATAATACGAAACACAAGCGAAGATCAGATTACCTAAAAGGCCACGCGAACCTCCTCAATCATAAAAAAAGAAAAACAAAGAACAAGAAAAAACAAAGAAGAAAAGAGAAGAAACTTAAAGAAAACAAAGAAGAAAAGAAAAAAAAAGAAAAAGAGAAGAAGACAAGAAAAAGACAAAGAAGGAAAGAAAGACAAGAAAAAACAAAGAAGAAAAAGAAGAAGAAAAACAATAAGAAAGAGAAGAAGACTTAAGAAAAAACAAAGAAGAAAAAGAGAAGACAAGAAAAAATAAAGAAGAAAGAGAACTTAAGAAAAACAAAGAAGAAAAGAAAAAAAAAAAACAAAGAAGAAAAGAGAAAAACAAGAAAAGACAAGAAAGAGAAGAAAACAAAAAGACAAAGAAGAAGAGAAGAAGAAAGAAAAAACAAAGAAGAAAGAGAAGAAGACTTAAGAAAAAAAAAGAAAGAGAAAAGAAAAGAGAAAAGAGAGAAGACTTAAAGAAAAAACAAAGAAGAAAAGAGAACAAGAAAAAAAACAAGAAGAAAAGAGAAGAAGACTTGAAAAAACAAAGAAGAAAGAGAAGAAGACTTCAGAAAAAAACAAGAAGAAAAGAGAAGAAGACAAAAATAAACAAAAAACAAGAAGAAAAAAGAGAAGAAGACAAAAATAAAAAAACCCGCAAAGCAAAAATATTTAAAATTCGCGCCGCCACGCAACACGCATCTATCACAGCGCAAACCTCTCGTCATTTGTTTATGTTTATGTTGAGTTTATGTGCGCGTAACAGTAACAAATCTCCGAATAGACAGTGTTGCAGAAAGGAGGAGGAGGAGGAGGAGGAGGGGAGGAGGAGGAGGAGGAGGGAGGGGAGGAGGAGGAGGAGGAGGAGGGAGGAGGGGAGAGGGGAGGAGAGGAGGGGAAGCGGGGAGGAGGAGGAGGAGGAGGAGGAGGGGGAGGGAGGGAGGGAGGGAGGGAGGTGAGGAGGAGGAGGGGAGGAGGGGGAGGAGGGGAGGGAGGAGGAGGGAGGGAGGGAGGGGGGAGGGAGGAGGGAGGAGGGAGGGAGGGAGGGAGGGAGGGGGAGGGAAGGGAGGGAGGGAGGGAGGGGGAGGGAGAAGGGAGGGGAGGAAGGAGGAAGGGAGGGAGAGGGGAGGGGATGAGAGGAGGAGGAGGAGGAGGAGGGAGGAGGAGGAGGAGGGAGGGAGGGAGGGAGGGGAATCGGAGCCGTGACGTCCATGCTGAGACACGGACGGACGTGTTTTATGCACCGCTGTTCTGTTGACGGACTTTTGTTCGCTTAAGCATGGGTCATTCAGTCTATCTTAGGCTATCTTTCTTTCTTTCCCTTCTATTTCTCCATCTCTCTCCATCTCTCCTCTCTCTCCACTTCATTTCCATCCTTCGTCTCCCCGTCACTCCTTTATCCCTCCACCCGTCCTACCCCCTCTTACATCCTCCTCTCCTTCTCCCCCTCCCCTCCCCTCTCCTCCCCTCTTCCCCCCCTCCACCCTCACCTCCAAAGCAAATTGATATTCACAGAGTAAATAAGGCAGTCGAGCCTCCCCCGCACGTGATCACTCAGGCTGTGGCATTAAACTGTCGCTGGCGCACGCTGATCCGTACTTAATGAGGCTCTCCCGATGGCAACACCAACAGCTTGACGTATGGCACCGGGGAAGTTTAGGAGAAAAAAAAAAGGTGACTACTTTTTTTTTATCTCTTTCCATCGCTTTTTTCTATGCGCGAAACTTCTTATAATTCGGGATATTTGTCAAGGGATGATGCCAAAAATGAATTAAGACCCTTGGTATGAAAGGGTTATTTACGACTTGCTGGATATTAATGGGTTTAAAGAGCCTTCAAGGTGCGACAAGAGGCGCTCCGAGAATCACTCAAGGTAAAGAGAAGTGTGATTTTACAATTTTTTTTCCACGCTACTTTAGCCCTTTTAAGTTGTTGAATCGCGCCAACTCTTTCCAAAGAAGAAGAAAAAATATGTCCAATCCCTTTTTTATGTTTTTATTTTCATTTATTTGCCTCCTTATTTTTGCCAAAGGCCTTCTACCACAGCCCTTTTTTTTTTCCTCCATGTAATAACCAGTAATCCCCCTCCCTTCATTTTGGCGTCTTAGCTCGCAAAGAAAAAGGGAGGAAGTGAGTATGGTACTTGAGGGGGCGGGGGGAGGAGAGGGAGAGAAGGGGGAAAGGATAAGGGGAAGGAGAAGGAAGCAGGGGAAGTTGGGGGGGAGGGGGGAAAGGATAAGGGAGGAGAAGGAGGCAGGGGAATTGGGAGGGGGGGAGGGGAAGGATAGGGAAGGAGAAGGAGGCAGGGAAGGGGCTTGGGGAATGAGATAAAGGTGGGGGAAGGGGCATATAATACGGGTATGGGGAGGGGGAAAGGGGATTGGGGAATGGGGAAGTGGTAGGGGCAGGGGCAAGAAAGGGAAGTGGTAGGGGATGGGGAGGGGGTATGGGAAGGGGCGAGGGAGGGTTTGCAGGAGGCTCCAGTAATCACATCAAGAGTGACAGGGCCTGACAAGGGGTCATGTCCTTGCACAGGCTTTCCGTCGGGCAGTTAGTTGCACGAGGTCTCTGACGGCGTCGACGCCCTCCTCTTCCTCTTCTCCTCCTCCTCATTATTCTCCTTCTCTTCTCCTTTCTTCCTCTCCATCTCCCATACTCTTCTCCTGATTATTCACTCCTTCTCTTCTCCTCTCCTTTCCTTCCCCTCTCCATTCTCCTCCTCCTCCTCCTCCTGATTATTCACTCCCTTCTCTCTCCTCTCCTTCCCTTCCCCCTCTCCATTTCTCCTACTCCTCCTCCTGATTATTCACTCCCTTCTCTTCTCCTCTCCTTTCCCTTCCCCCTCTCCATTCTCCTCCTACTCCTCATCGATTTTCACTCTTTCTTCTCGTCCCGATTCTCCTCTCTTCCTTCCCCTCTCCATTCTCCTCTCCTCATTCAATCCCATCTCTACCCCTTCCAAGTCTCCTCTCCTTCCCTTTCCCTCTCCCCTCCCCCCAACTCCTCGCCCCTCTACCCCTCCCTTGCAGCCGCCCACGCCCATTAGAAGTTAGACCCCCGCGTGTGTTTGTCAAGCGCGGCCGCCCACTTCGCCAAAAACTCTTCAACTTCCCAGCATGACACGAGCGCCGTGACCCTGCTGGACTCCCGGGCATGTCGACGCCGTTCGGGTCTCTCTCTTTTTCTGTGTGTCTGTCTTTCTTTTCTTTCTTTCTCTCTCTCTTTTCTTTCTTTCTTCTCTCTCTCTCTTCTACCTGTTCCTTCTCTCTCTCTTTACCTCCCGCTCTCTTTCTACCTGTTCCTTCTCTCTCTTTGCCTCCTCTTCTCTTTTCTCTCTCTCTCTTCTCTCTCTCTCTCTCTCTCTCTCTCTCTCTCTCTCTCTCTCTCTCTCTCTCTCTCTCTCTCTCTCTCTCTCTCTTCTCTCTCTCTCCCTCCCCCCTCCCCCTCCCTCCCTCCCTCCCCCTCCCTCCCTCCCCTCCCTCCCTCCCCTCCCCTCCCTCCCTCTCCCTCTTCCCTCTCCCCTCCCTCCTCTCCCTCTCCCTCTCCCTCTCCCTCTCCCTCTTTTCTATTCTCCTCCCTCCATTTATATACAAACCCGAGATTTTTTGCCTTTGTTTTTTTTCATTCATCGGATCAGCCATCGTAAGCTGTCGCCGGAGCTCCTTCTGTCGCCGCGGAGTGTGGGTTGCGCGATCCTGGGAGTGTCTAAGGAGGCGCCTCAGCCACGGGTAAAAAGATTCGCCGATCCCCCCTCCCTTTCGCCTCCTCCTCTAAACCTCTCCCCTCATTCTCTCATTCCAACCCCTCCCCCTTCTCCCCTCCCTCTCATTCTAACACTTCTCCTCCCCCCTTCCTACCTCTTCCAACCCCTTTCCTTTCCCCATCTCTCTCTCTCTTCCCATCCCTCCTTATCACCTCTTCCAATCCCTACTCTTCCCTCCCTCTCTCTATTTTCCAACCCCTTCCCCTCCCATCCCTCCTCTCTCTCTTCAAACCCCCTCCCCTTCCCTCTCTCCTCTCTCAAATCCCTCTCTTCCATCCCCTCCCCCCCCCTCTCTCTTCAAACCCCTCACCTTCCCCCCCTCCCTCTCTTCCAACCCCTCCCCCTCCCCCCTCTCCCGTATGGGCGTAAGCTGCCGCGCCGCCGCCGCCCCTGTCATCCCCGCCCGTCACTCCCCGGGCCACGTCGCGAGACATGTCGTGTACAGGTGTCACACTTGCGATGCGGACGCCGACATGCAATGATGAGGCACGAGACTCCCGCTGCCATTAGCTTACTGCTTTCCCTCACCCTTCCGCTGTTCCCTTCTTCTAC